GCTTGCATGATTACTACCCTTTCTTTGTTATTTTTTTTTTTACTTGCCACATTTTTTCTCACGTTGGCCAATGCATATACTTCAACTGTTAATATGTTTATTTGCATTTGTAAAATTTATAGAAATTTAGTTTTAATAAAGTAGATATTGAGACAGATCTAACGAAATCCCATATGACTATTTTTCTTTAAGTATAAAATCACAAAATTTAAGTAATGTGGAGTATGTGAATAGTGTACATTATAGAAATGTTGTAAGTACAAAAGAAGGGAGGAAGTATTTAATAAGCTCCGGTATTGTGGCTATGTTTAGACACCATATATTTCTACTTTTCTGTTTTGTGGAATGATGGCTAGGGAATTTTATGGTACTTTTGTGGCTTGAAAGAAGGATCAAAATGTCAAATATTTGATAAGATTCCTTTGCTGAGTAGAGTTGTTTTCTCTGTTCCATCTCATGCTTTATGAGCCTTTAGGCATATCTCTTGTACACCATAATTGGAATTCTATTTTCTCTATTCATAGGGAAGATTTTATCCTTAATACATGTTTGATACATTTTGTCTTAAAAAAATTGCAATAATACTTGTCTTATAAAACTCAATGTAATGTGCAGCATTCTTACAGTCCATGTCCGTGGCATGGATTTGAAGAGCAATTCTGCCTTGCGTGGTTGTCTTCACTTGGTGGATCTTGCAGGGAGTGAAAGAGTGGATCGCTCTGAAGCAACTGGAGATAGACTAAAGGAGGCTCAACATATCAACAGATCACTCTCTGCTCTTGGAGATGTTATCTTTGCATTAGCTCAGAAGAATTCTCATGTGCCATATAGAAATAGCAAACTCACTCAGGTTCTTCAGAGTTCACTAGGTATTTGGCTAGTACTTAATCCTGTGTTATTTATCTTAACAATTGACTATCCCTTCATGAATTTCTTTCATTGTATCATCATAATGAAGAATCATGTAAATATGATTCAGGTGGACAAGCGAAGACATTAATGTTTGTGCAGCTTAACCCTGACGTGGAGTCTTACTCTGAAACTACCAGCACTCTTAAATTTGCTGAGAGGGTATCTGGGGTGGAGTTGGGTGCGGCACGTAGTAACAAAGAGGGAAGAGATGTTAGGGAACTCATGGACCAGGTTTGTCTCTATAATATATCTTCCTTCTGATTGGTTCTTATATCCTTTAGAAAAGTTTTTCTAGACTAGTTGTGATTTATGCCCATGGAACTATGGAAGTGCCTTTTCTGCAATTTTATAGTCTCATGAGGAATTTGTTCTAAACACAGTTTACTTATCACTATGCATTTATTAGTAGATCAACTTGGAAGCATGTTTCTCCGTAGGAAACAATTGATATTAAGGACAACGGTATATTGATTTATTACCAGTACTTTTTTTGCTTGAGTTGCATTTGTGAGTCATACTATGGTGTTTGGGCTGAAAGATGAATGATATGAGAATGCCCCAGATTTGAATGACTTTTTTTGGCTTTGTAATGTTTAACATTATGAGTCATGAAGGAATCAAAATAATTTTCTCATTTAACTTTGCTCTCTTGAGTAACTTGACTTTAAGAATTTATTGCCTGAACAGTTGGAATTCACTTATTTATGATAAGGGCTTGTCAAAATATGTTTTTCCCTCAGTGTCAGGCCTCTTTAGTGAAAGGATATTGCACTCTATGGCAATCTTCAAAAATACATGCAAGGATTCAATTTTATAAGCTGACAACTGTGAAGCTCTGGATAACCTATCAGATCAAATGAGTTTGTACTATGCTCTAATTTTTAGCTGTTTTGTAGGTTGCATCTCTGAAAGCTACCATTGCAAAGAAAGATGAGGATATTCAGCGCTTTCGTCTTGTTAAGGTTAGTACTAACAGTGAGAAGCGTGGTGTGAACCCTCTAAAGCCTGGGCTTTCTTCTTCTGGGAGACAATCCTTTGGGCCAACTCGATCGTCGCGCAAATTGTCAGGGCAGACTAGCAGACCAACTTCTGATCAAGATTATGGTTCAGAACATAGTGATAGACATTCTGAAGCTGGTTCACAGCATTCGGTTGAAGACCTTAAGAACCAGCGTGAAATCTTGAGGCATCCAGACCTTCCTGCATCTGATGCAGTTCGAAATTTTAATGATGATATCGATCTTTTGGGATTTGGAGATGCGGACTCTGAAGAGAGATTAAGTGATATATCTGATAGTGGCCTTTCAATGGGGACGGAAACTGATGGTTCTATTTGCAGTGTTGTGGAGTACACACTTTTTCCTGAAGCGGCCAAACCAGAGGAAAACCTAGAAAAGTAAGCCTTTTTACATTTATCATTTCTATGTTGCTATAGTAATCAACATGATACTGAGATACTCCATTTCTTATGACCTTGGAGATGATCTATGACCTTGGATATGATCTTGATCTTGTTTACGTGTCTTCGTTTGTCATAGTATTGATTCTGCTTTTAGCAAAAATCCTGTGTTTGCTAAAGCAGATTATTGTGATTATTTGGTTGAACTTTACAGGACAGATGCATAGTGATAACCAGAGTTATGTTTGGTCATATTTTGTTTGATATTAAAAACATACTGACACTTTTTGCATAGGCAATTAGATTATCGAGTATGTTTCATTGTGTCTTTGACCCCTTTTATGTTATATTGTTGCAGGTCAACCATGCCAACCAAACTTCCAAAACCTCCACAAAAACAGCGGTCAGGGTCTTCTCAGTTGTTACTTGGCAAGACTTCCTCTAAAGCTGTATCAAGTATGTCTACTGCTCATTTATATCATCTTTTCAGCTATGATAATTTTTGGATACATATTGTTTCTCCTTTTATTAAAGTTTTAGTTTGTACATTACGCGGACATGTATTTTGATGGGAAGATTTATGTCTTCCTTATTTTTCTGAGGATTTTCATTAGCTTTTTTACTTTTCCTGTTGGGCAAGAGTTTTATTTTGTATTTTTCTAAGGAATCGATAACACTCTTCCAATTTTACAGCTCCAGATTTTTGACATTTTTGCTGCATGTTGCCTCATGCTGTTGGTAATTTTGTCTATGACAATCTAAATGCACTATTTAACACTAATTGCTACCTATTGTTCTGATATATTACAGGTTCTAAGAAACCAGCGCCTACTAGCTCTTCATCAGTGAAGCCTAAAGTCAGGCCTCCTAAACGGTGGGCTTGAAGCTGCAATGCTCTTGCAGCTGTTGTAGGCTGTAGCGTAACTATGTAATATATATCTGTCTATCTTCTTTCAATCTTTCGTCTCTCACCACATAATGTTAGCTTAGGTGATTTATGCACTTGATTTGGCAGATGTAACATATACACGACTATAGCGTAGTCTTCGATTGTCGAGGGGTTTATCTAACTGTCCTTTAAGCATGCTATAAGAAGCAGCTCAATTACTTCATGGACCTGAAACAACTTGGTAATATTTGTAATTATGTACAGGGGGAAAAAAAACAACAAATGTTGAAATGCTTCCTACTTCGAAAATCAGATTTGCCAAATTATCTCTTGTTTTGCTCACTTGATCTGTTAAATCCAGAGCTGGATTATCGAATGTTAATGAGTATTACTGTATTAAATTACTTATAAAATAATTACTGTATTTAACCATAAAGATTAATTTTCTTATAGTGTTAATTTGACCTTATGGCATTTCTTTATGGTTTGGACACATAGTAATTTTTTGGAAATTTTGTTAATTACTACCGTGTATTAATGCCATTTTGAAAATTACTTTTGCGAATTAAAAAACTTGTGATTTATTAAAAACTTTTAAAAAATTTATTTTACTATCAGATTTCGCTTTAAGTCAATTATGATATCACTTTGGACTTTTAACTTATGTTTAACCCCTAGTTAAACAATTAAATATTTTAACCCATGGTTACTACGTAGAAGAAATCATTTGCAAATACGGTAACTATTATTTTATCATTACACAAAACAACTGTGTTCATCTGTATTTGAAGTTTTGAACATGGATTGACGAATTTTTCTAAGTTTGATGCTGTCGTACTATGTATAGTGGATGATTATTTACTACTATTATTACTAGAACTCGTATAGCTATAAGCTATTACGTATAATAATGTTTATAAATAAGATGTCAACGAGTCATAAGCTCGATCATAACACTTGTAGAGTTGTAGCCTTGTAAGTGGGGTACAAATATGCAATTGGGTCTTAAATAAATATCAACTTGTATGTTTAAAAAGGAAATCTTCTGATATTACTTGTTCATTAGCAACGGTCTTTTCTTTTTTTAAAGAACCAACAAGCAATATTTAGTGACTATTTTCTTGTGTCCCTGTTTTTAGTCTTATTTAACTTTTTACGATCACTAAAACACAATTTTATAATCATTTTATTTCTATAATGCGTAAAAAATTATATAAATTTTTTATTAATAAAATATACAATGAGACAACCTAACAAGACTATATTATCTCTTGATTAATAGAAATTTATAATCAAAGTTTTTTGAAATTTGACTCATTTATTTGTAATGGGGCAAAAAAATGAGAAAAGAGGGATCTTTGTTTGATTAATGACAATTTATAATGTAAGTTTTTAAAATTTGACCCATTTATTTGCAATGAAAAAAAAAGAAGGTATTTCGACAAAATAAAAGTATCATCATATTCATAGTTCTGTTTTGCGATATTAATTATGAGCATACACACTACACAAAATTTAATAAATTGTATTTTTCCGATTATAAAATGTCACACGTAATTAGTTTTTTTTTTTTTTTTTTTTTTTTTTTTTTTTTTTTAATAATTAAAAGGAAAATAGTTTAATTAAAGGTACATAATCAAGTAAGAAAAAAATGAGTTTATTTGGTTAACAAAATATAAATATATACCTAAAGATATTGATCAGTGATGAAACCAACCGATGAGAATACATAAATTGATGATAATTCGCTGCTTAGTAAAGTCTTGAAAGCCAAGTATTACCCAAACTCTTCCTTTCTCGATGCCTACTTGGGGTATGGGGGAAGCTACTCGTGGAGGAGCATATGGAGTAGTAAAGCTCTTGTTAAAGAAGGCATTATATGGCGAATTGGGAGTGGGAAGGAGGTTGATTTATGGCGATCTCCTTGGCTTGCTGATTCGGAGGGCAGGTTTATCACAAGCCAAGAAGTGGTGGGTTTATCAACTGTTAGTGATCTGATTGATGAGCATTCGAGAGAGTGGAAGACTGACATTATAGCAGAAAATTTCAATGAGCGTGACCAAAAATGTATCTTGTCAATTCCGATTAACTCTACGGTGACAAAGGATATGTTAACATGGGCGTTCTCTAAGGACGGGTTATACTCAGCAAAAACAGCCTATATGTTGGGAAAAGGTTGCAATCTTAATGATTTCCACCAAGCGTGGGTGGAAACTTGGGGTATGAATGTATCGCCAAAGGTTCGCCATTTTCTATGGAGAGTGTGTACGAACACACTTCCAACAAGAGCCTTGCTGAACCACCGTCATTTGATTGAAGATGTTACTTGTCCTTGGTGTGGTACACAGGAAGAAACAAGTGCTCATGTGCTTTTAGATTGCATCCGAGTTCAGGAGCTGTGGGAGGAGAGTAAATGTGAAGACCTGCTGCTTGACAGACGTGGGAATTGGTGTGATTTGGTTGCTAGATGGAAGAACATTGATGGCAAATTGAAACGGAAAGCTGCCTTTCTAATGTGGATTATATGGGGTGAACGTAATAAAAAGATTTTCGAAGGAACCATCACCCCGAATGATGTCCTTCTTGCGAGATTATTTTGTTTGATTGAGGAGTTTGACTGCCATACAAAGAAGATATACAATATTCGTCAATCGAAGCCAAAAAAGAGCCCTGCTAGGTGGATATCCCTGCCACAAGGAGTTATAAAAATAAACTCTGATGCGAGTTTGGCAGAGGAAGGGTGGGTAGGGATGGGTGTGGTGGCTCGAGACAACAAGGGGGAGGTGCTATTTTCGGCGTGTAGAAGAGTGAAAGCATGGTGGCCAGCTGAAATAGCAGAAGGTAAGGCACTTGTTATGGCTATAAAGCTTGCAAAAAGGCAGGGGTTCAAGGATGTCATTCTCGAATCCGATTGTGAAGTCCTAATAAATAGGCTATCCAAGGCTGCTTTGTTCTTCTCTGACTTTGATGGTGTTCTTGAGGATATCATCTCTTTGAGTAGAGATTTCTCCTCTGTAGGTTGGTTTCATGTAAAGAGGGGAGGAAATTATGTTGCTCATTATTTAGCTAGAATCATACCTTTTGGAACCGAGCAAATGTGGATTAATCATTGTCCCACATCTATTGCTCCCTATGTACTCTCGGACACTATGTCTCTTGATTAATAATCGTCGTCCCTCAAAAAAAAAAAATATTGATGATAAAGGAATTTTAATGGACATTTGAAGCGTGGATGCATATAAGAAGACAACTGGTATCTAGGGGTGTAAATGAGTCGATACGCTTGTAAACTACTCACGAACAAGCTCGGTCAAAGCTTGGTCAAAACTCGTTTGTTAAGCTAACAAACAAGTTTGAACAAAAATCTTAAGCTCGTCAAATAGGTGAACAAAGCTCGAACAACATCATGTACGACTTGGTAGTGTTCATGAACAATTCCTTTAAATCAATTTATAAGTTTTTTCACGCCCAATTAAAATTCGAAAAATTTATATATGTTTTATTCATACATTTATGTAAAAAGTACTAATTATTTGATCATGTAAAAGTATGAAAACTCCTTCATTACCTTTTTCTATAGAAAGAATATAAAAATCTTATATAAAATTAAATAGATGTGTTAAAACTTGAAAGAAACCATTTTTTAATGATAAATTAGGCTCGTTTATTTAATCAAGCCCGATTTAGACCCATTCCCGCTTGAACTTAAACTCGAAATGCAAACGAGTACGTTCGTGAACAAAGCTCGAATAAGCCAAATTCTTAATGAGCCCGGCTCGAACAAGATTTTTAAAAGCTTGTTCAAGATCGAGATAGTTCGAACACGAATAATTCTTATCAAGCTTAGCTCGAACAGACTAAAACTCGGCTCAGCCTTTCATGGGTTTGTTCTCAACCGTGTGAAAATCTCTCCAAAACTTCAACTACTGCTACTACTACTTGCTACTCAGTGGAACATCCTTTGTATGTAACAACTCATCAACAATATAATTGTGTAAAATAATGTTAAGTTCATTATTTGATTTTAAACGGAAATTATTTATCCCCATTTTGTTTAGGGAAACTGATCAGATCACTGACAAAAAAAAGCAAACGATCACATGAATTATATTTTTAATCTTTAGAAGTTATTGACATGATATGTTTGAGATGCTTCAAATTTAATTTAATTCACTTTAACTTTTGCACTTATTTCTCTATTACTAAATTGATATCAGATTAGTAAAATAATGAACAATTAGAAAATTGGAAAGTAATGCCATATTAGATTCTTGATACATTAGGGTTTTTTCATGGGCTAGATTTTTTCAATCTTTGAAAAGGTATGACATTAATTTTGTTACACTTTTTCAAGTTCCAACTTCTAGGCCAGAATTATTAATAAAATACTATTTGTAGGTTGTTAAATATTCAAAAATTGTGAGGAACCTTCTTCCTACTAATAATGGAAACAAATACCACTTTACTAAAAGTTCTTACATAGTTTTTGTTTGATTGAGTTCTTTTCTGAATCAATCAACAATCAAAAGAATGATGATGACAAAAAGTCAAAGGAACCTAGCCTTTGATTATAATTATTATTGTGTACGATAGAGTTGGAATATTTTTATTCTAAAATAATTGCTATATAACAAGCTGCCAAACATTTTTCAAAATGTATGATAGTAAGGAGAACTCCAAAAAATTGTAGGAAATGACTTCCAAATTGTTTTCTTACTATTCATATGTTAATCTCTCTCTAATTTTCTGCTTATTATGGCTTCAAACACCCATTATTCAAGCTGATCATGAACATCAGAGAAAGGTAAGCACCTTCATTCTTATTGTCAAATTAACATGCATGCCAATAACTTCTTCAAATTGATGAATTTTGAAATAATGTTATGTTTATTGTATTTAAATTTGATTTGAATTATATAAATTGTATGATTTTTGCAGATTTATATTATATATATGGGGGATCCGCGTTACTCTAATATCTCTGCTAAGGACTTCTATTTGGACATGTTGAATGGTGTTCTTGAAAGGTTAGTTGTACATGCTTACCATTGAGAAAAGAAAAAAAATCTCATGTTTTTTTAAGCTTATGATCATGTTTTTTTTTTTTTTTTTTTTTTTTTTTTTTTTTTTTCCAATGGTATTTAATCTCATATTTTCGGAATAATATTTCAATCATTTAAAGTACGTATGAAATTATGTTGAAGTCAAACAAGGACTAAGAAAAACAAATTCTAGACTTTGCCATCCTTGTGATGAAGGTTACAACGTGCTTGAGTGGTCCTCATAATTGTCATTCTTAATTAATAGTAATCTATTTGACAATTTAGTTGGATATTGTAATAAATATTAAACTTGTAAATTAAATTATCTCCTTGTATGTACTTCAATTACCTTTAACTAATTGATGCTCATAGGCCGATAGACACACGTTAGAAAATCCCTATATTATTATTATTATACATGATCTTTCGGTTCTTGGTCTTGATTATTTTTCATGCTATATATTTTCATAAAACATAAACTAACTAATAACGTTATGCAATGAAAATTGCATTTGCAGTGTCCCTTCAGAAAAAACTTCAGAATATCTACTTTATACTTACGAGAACTTCCAAGGATGTGTCGCTAAACTTACCGAAGATGAAGCAAAGAAAGCATCTAGTACGTTCGTTGCGCTTACTTTAATATATAGTTTCTCATTTTACTGTTATTATTATTATTATTATTATTATTATTATTATTATTATTATTATTATTATTATTATTATTATTATTATTATTATCAATTGAACTGATTTTATTAATGTGTTCTTTGCCACATTTATTGCATATTTATATTGACATAAAATTAATTATGATAGGGATTAATGGTGTGGTTTCGGTATTTCCCAATCGGAAGAAGAAACTCCATACAACAAGGTCATGGGATTTCATGGGTTTCTCTCAAGATGTTGAGAGAAGTGCGATGGAGAGTGACATTACTATTGGAGTAATCGATACCGGTATTTGGCCGGAATCCGAGAGCTTTCGAGATGAGGGTTTCGGTCCACCACCCTCCAAATGGAAGGGCATATGTCAAACTTCAAACGATAACTTCACTTGCAACAAGTAAGGTTCCTCTACATTATTGGCACCTTTTAAATTTTATATTCCCCTTGAGGCCTTAATAAGTGCCCTAGGGCCGCATTTAGTGTTTTTTTTTTTTAAAAATCTTTTTTCAATGTGGGATAACTTACATGTAGACAACATATAAAGATGTCTTAATATATCTTATAGTTCAATTGTAAATCACAGTTTAAAGGAAAACGTACTTTGATATTAATTGTTGCATTATTGTATGTAGCAAGATAATAGGGGCACGTTACTTTCGAGCGGATGGAGAAATCCCAGAAGATGACATAGCCTCACCAAGAGACACAATGGGGCATGGAACACATTGTGCATCCATAGCTGCAGGAGTGGTGAACAAAGCAAGTTTCCTAGGACTAGGCGAAGGCACTGCTCGAGGCGGTGTACCATCAGCTAGAATAGCTGTGTACAAAGTATGTTGGACAGATGATTGTTGGGAAGCTGATATCCTGGCTGCATTTGATGCGGCAATATCAGATGGAGTGGACGTCATATCGGCTTCACTTGGATTCGATGCATTACCATACTTTGAGGATACAATTGCTATAGGAGCTTTTCATGCTATGAAACATGGGATCTTGACCTCGAGTGCTGCCGGAAATAGTGGTCCAAGACTTAATACACTCAGTAATATTGCACCATGGTTACTCACCGTTGGAGCTAGTACCATAGACCGTAAATTTACCACACAAGTAATACTTGGTAATGGCATGGCTATTGAGGTTAGTAAGTCGGTTTTTATTTTTTATTTTTTTTTAATGGGCGGATTATAATCCTTGAATACCATTTTCAAGAATTTAACCAACTAAGCTAGTTAGTCGTCTACTAGAATGTATTGATTATAATTATGTTAACTTTTTCTATTTGTACTCCTACAAATTGAAAGGGCAAATACTTTTATTTGATTACAGAAAGAGTAACAATATATATAGGTCATATTGAATATCATGAGTTTCAAATCGAAATTGCATATCAAATTGAAACACAAGCTAGATCATATACCTAAATTCTAGATCGTATCAACCAACAGATCCTTAATTGGACTGACCATATCAGATTGTCATATAGTATTATACATATTTCTGGGTATCAACCATCGTCTTAAGCTTTTGGTTGAATTGATCCTTTAATATAGGATTGGTGCCAGCGTGACATAAAGGTTATGGGTTTAAATCTCATCCATTCTCACTTTCAATCTTTCCTTACTTGATGCAGGGAGTTTCTCTAAATACATTTGAAGATGATGATAAGACATTCCCCCTAATTTATGGAGGAGATGCAGCAAACAAATCATATGAAGAGCCATTACTCTCCCGGTAAATGACTACAAAGCATGATATTCAACTCTTAGCATGAACTTGGTTTTGAATATTTAAGAACTAAATATAATTATTATATCAATTAGTAATCACATATATTATGTAACAAAATTGCAGGTATTGCGAATTAGACACATTAAATAAAACATTGGTCAAAGGCAAGATTGTAATATGTGATTGGATAATATCTGGGGAGGAGCCTTTTGTTGCTGGTGCGGCTGGGATGATAATGCAAGATGTCGAACCCCATGATCATGCATCTTCCTTCCCTCTCCCTGCATCTTATCTTCATGTTGATGATGCTGCTCGCGTTCTCTCCTACACCAGAAATTTAACGAGGTATTACTCTTTTAGTCCACGTAAATAACATGTAATGTGTAACATACTATTATACATATACAACACCTTCATCAAGTTAATTTTGGTTGTTTTTTTTACAAGTACACCAATTGGAACAATAAAAAGAAGTGTTCAAGTCGAGGATACATCAGCTCCTTTCGTAGTCTCATTTTCCTCAAGGGGTCCTAATCCAATTTCTCCGGGAATCCTTAAAGTAAGAGTATACAAAGCTTGTTCATACGTACCATCATTGCATTGTACATATTTTATTACTTACCTCCATTTTTTAGTTGACACTTATTTCTTTTTAGAAAGTTTATTTTTAGTTGACATGTTTTCTTTTTGAGTGTGTTTTTTATCCTTTTTTTTTTTTCATGTACCCAACTTCGCAGTAACATTCTCTCATTATCTTTCCTCTCATTAATATGTGTGCCTGAATTGAGCGTGTCGCTAATTGATTTATCTGGTCTGCGTGCCAAAATTTTAATTTCTTAGCCAGATTTGATTGCACCCGGAGAAAGCATCCTAGCAGCATATTCACCGGTTGCACCTCCTTCCGGAGTTATGGGTGATCAAAGGTCCGTGAAATATCTTATAGCGTCGGGGACATCCATGGCTTGTCCTCATGCCACCGCAGTTGCTGCTTATGTTAAGTCTTTCCATCCTACTTGGTCTGAAGCTGCCATCAAATCTGCTCTCATGACTACCGGTACAAATATTTTTAGCCTTTCGTAAAAATGTCTACAAACTGATATCTCACTAATCCTTAAAAAGTTTATAACTAGTAATTTTCAATGTGAAATTTAATAGCCTTACCAATGAGTAGCGCTACAAATGAAGAAGCCGAGTTAGCCTATGGTTCCGGCCAAATCAATCCATTGAAGGCAATAGACCCTGGCCTAGTATACGACGTTGGAGTAAGTGACTACATGAAGTTCTTATGTAGTCACGGCTACAATGAAACTGCAATAAGGTTTATCACTGGTGGAAGTAGTTGCGGTCAGAAGAGATCTACCAATTGGGATCTGAATTACCCTTCAATCGCGCTACCTACAAGCTTAGGCCCCTTTGACACCGTGTTTACGAGGACAGTCACAAACGTTGGTTCACCAAATTCAACATACAAGGCTATAGTAACCGTGCCAAGAGACCAGCCTATTGTGATCAAAGTACAACCATCTGTTTTGTCATTCAAATCTTCGGGCGAAAAATTGTCATTTAAAGTGAGAGTTTACGGGACAATTGGTATGAGAGCTTTGATATCATCTTCTTTGGTGTGGGATGATGGTCAACATCAAGTTCGAAGCCCTATTGTTGTTTTTAATTTGTCTTAGAATTGACAAGTTGAAATTTCTTTTTCATCAAAATATGGGGAATGATGCAAATTATAGCAGACTTGTACTACTTATTATCAGAATAATTCTATTGATGTACACTTGTATATGAGGGTTGAATTTATTTAATTATTTATTTATACTTCGAGTAATTATTTTATTTTATCATGTAATCTATCAAATTCATTAACTATTGAAACCCTAGCTTTTACTTTTCCATACAATTGAGAATATATGAACTATTTATAAAGCTTCTTTTCCGAAAATGGATAGAATTTCCAAGTAGTTCACGACCGTATTGCTTTCAGTTTGATTTACTTACAAATCTAAAGTGCTAGACCGATTGAAAATGGTATGATTGAGAGGATTAACCTCTCAAGCTTAATGGTTGATACATCTCTATTTTTCAATGTAATTATGCAAGGCAACTCACAAGTGCACAACAACGGCTTTTATAGACATTGTTTTGTACTTAAAATCACTATTTATAATAGGGTATGTTCTAATTTACTGAATTGAACTGAACTGATTGGATCGGAGCTGAATTGAACATAATTGAATATTTTATGAGAGAAGAAAATTAAGAATTGAATTGAACTGAAAATAAATGGAAGAGAACAGACCCTTAGTACGGAGTAGTACATATACTGATATACATCATCTCACTTTTAAAAATTTGCAAGACATGATGGAGACGTTATAAGTCAATAGTATTATATTGAAATGTTCATTATTCTTTGAAATATTCTTTTGACACTATTATTCTTGAGCTTTGATGATCACTACTTTTCCAACCTTTAAAGCTTACTTATCAGAAGTTTAGAGTTAGCAACTAGCTAGCAATAATAGTCAACTCAATTTTAATTTGTAGAGTACTTCAATAGTTCAAGTTAATTTGTTTTAGAAATAATCTTTATCAATAATAAGTCCAATCAATCCACTAGGTTTAAAAAATTAATGTCAACTAGTTATATGACGTTTGACCCGACCCATATTTGATTTTATTATAAGGATCTTTGTGGAATGAAATTTGTGAAATTAATAAATTAAAGATAAATACAAGTAAAATTTGAAATCCGATCAAAAAAGCTAGAAATCTAATAGAGGAGTGACCTTGATACATCATATCGTGTATCAGACCTAATATGTTCCACTACTATTTTGTGTTAACACATATATTTGTATTAAAATGTTTACTATCTATTTTACTAGATATATTATGGAATGGCTTTCAGCTATAAAGCGATAATAATAATGAATAGAAAAATATGGAGGTAAGTATAACACTACATATTTTAGTACTTGCATTATTTCCTTTTTTTTTTTTTCATTCAATCCGTTGTTTGCCTTCATTGTTGTAAGAAGTAAGAATGTTCTAAATCTCAATCAATTTTTCATTTTACGACCTCTCCAATAGTAAACAAATTGTTCAATCATTATGCTAAGGATCTATTGGTTTAATATTGGTTTTGTTGGATAATTTACTTTATTTATACTTAGCTAGATTAAGTATATATTTGAACTAATCAATTATAAGCTAAGAAGGAATAAAAATGTTGTTTTCTTCACACAACCTCCACCACCCCCCCCCCCCCAAAAAAAAATAAAAATAAATAAAAATCAAGAGAGAGTTAATTATTCTTTTGAATCCATCAAAGAAAAAAAAAATCAATATATGTGTTACCAATTCCTCCAAAGTGGCATTATAAAAGAAGCTTAGTTCAGTTGTAATTGTTCGTAGCTAATGACATTTGAGAGTATGGCTCCCAAATTATTTTCGTGTGGAATCCTTCTAAGCTTCATCTGTTTATGGCTTCTAGCGCCGCTTAATCAAGCTAATCAAACTCAAAGAGAGGCAAGCATGCATATTTATCAAATTTTTTGTTTTACACATATAGTTATTTTTGCAATTTTTGAAAGAAAATTTGTTGCTTGTTATTCTTTATTGATACTCATTTTTTTTGTTTTCAAATCTAAATATATAATACCTTAATCTTTCTTTCTCTTCTTAATGGTATAGAAATTAGTCCATGCATAGATGGCTTCTCCTTAATATAAACTAAACTACTTGGTCATTGTACCAATATATAGTAACTGAGCATAACAAAAAAGAACAAGGGAATACACCTAACTAAAACATAGTTTGATTATTCTTCCTTGGAACGTACAATTAAGGAATAACTATCAATCATATATAGGCAAGATTTAAAGTACATACGTGGAATTAAATACTACATTTGTTTCATATTATTTGCAACGATTAGACATTTTTTCTCTCTACTTTTATCAAATCGTTGCAAATAATATGAAATGGAGGTAGTATATTATGTTTAAATTATTAGCCCTCGATCAAACTCCTCAAAACCACCTAGCTGTGTGATGCATGCGTTTTATTTCTTTATATTATTTAATAAATTTTGCTTTTGTGTAGGCTTATATTGTATACATGGGTGATCGGATTAATCCAGACGGTTCTGCAAAAAGCCTTCATATTGACATGTTAAGCAACGTTCTTGAGGGGTGAGGACAATTTTCTACTCTACTTATCATATTATATTATATATTATTGCAATGTAGCATTCTATAAAATTTAATAATATTCGAATATAAATGTTGAATTGAAGACTGGCCACATAATATTTACCTATTTTTTATTTTTATTTTCCTTTTGTGCGGCTGGTCACACTGTGTGACCAGTTAACACACACTAAGTAATCCTTTACCTACAACTCTACAAGTAATACTTGACTGAGTAACCTTTGAGCGAGTGAGTAATCCTTGACAGAATAAGTACCCCTAACTGAGTGAGTAACCCCTATATCACTATCAAAGTAATCCTAGGATGATTGGCCATACAGTGTAGCCAGTCACATGCATATAAAAGTTGGTGTTTCTTTTAAATTTTGTTGCAATAACAAAAGTTTCTTAATAAAAATTCCTGTTTTTCTTCAAAATCAACCACTTTATAATTTACATTTTATATGTTGGTGTCATTTTACATATGGACGAAACAACTATGTTAGTGTGCCTTCTCACAAGGTTTCGGAACACCTTCTATATTCATACGAGAATTTCCATGGATGCGTAGCAATACTAACTGAAGATGAAGCAGAGGTTATCGCTGGTACATTACTATGAGCCTTTAATTGTACTACTCCCTTCTAAGAACTTATTTTTTTCCTTATTGTACTAATTGGAACTTACGTACAATAATATATCGATTATGCAAGGCATGGATGGAGTTGTTTCCGTTTTTCGAAACGAAAATGTTTACCATCATACAACAAGGTCTTGGGATTTCATGGGTGTCCTTGAGAATGTTGAGAGAAGCAACATCGAGAGTGATGTTATTGTTGGAGTTATTGATAGTGGAATTTGGCCTGAATCTGAAAGCTTTCAAGATCAAGGTCTTGGTCCACCTCCCACCAAATGGAAGGGCCGATGTCAAACTTCACAAAACTTTACATGTAACAAGTAAGATTTCTCTTTTTATACTAGAGTATGACAAAATTTACATTTTTGTAAATTGATTTGTGAAATAAAAGCTATTCTTTATATAATAAGCAAGTAGTATATATATTTATATAAAATAATACTCCATATACGAAGTAATAATTTATTTTGAATATAGTAGAGCTGGCCTAGCAAGTGAATCTCGATTTTTACCTGCTGGCCTAGCAAGTGACCTAGCAAGATGTCAAGTTGGGCCCGACTTGAATTTTTTTTTTTTTTTTTTTTTTTGTTTTCTAGTGGGCCTTAGACATGTTTTGGCTAACCCTAAAAGCCTACTAGGCTGCATTCCGAATCTTGGCTCCGCCTAGCCAAGTAGGCTAATTTTTATAGCCCTTTGATCACCTCTAGATTATAGGATTGTGGGAGGAACATAGGCTCCGATACAATATCAAATATTAAGGATAAATATAGCCTTTCCTTGACTAGAGAGGCTTGATAGTGTTTACTCCATATAATAGTACTACTCCGTAATATATTGAGAGAGCAAGTTTAGAATTTTAAATCAAGCATAGCTTGGTCTAGTGGTAAGGTTTGCATCTCACAACCCTATTAGAGGCACTTTGAGGTGGGGATTTCAATTTCTTACCCATCCCTCCCGTTCCCTTACGAACCCAAAAAAAAGCTCAAAATTTTGAAACAATTCGATCTTACCATTATTATATACTTTCACTCTTGTAGCAAGATAATTGGTGCTCAATATTTTCGAGCTGATGGAAACTTCAGCAAGGACGAACCATCACCAAGAGACACAGTTGGGCACGGAACACACACTGCCTCCATAGTTGCTGGAAGAGTGGTACAAAGCGCAAGCTTCCTAGGCCTCGGCCAAGGAATTGCTCGAGGGGGTGTACCATCAGCCAGGATCGCTGTTTACAAGTCGTGTTGGTCTCATGGTTGTACATCTGCCGATGTCATGGCAGCATTTGATGCAGCCATATCAGATGGAGTGGACATCATTTCAGTTTCACTTGGAAATCCTGAAATCGAAGCATTACCATACTTCCGCGATTCAATAGCCATAGGATCATTTCATGCAATGAAAAGAGGAATCTTGACTTCTACAGCTAGTGGCAACACTGGTCCTGGTCTTCGAAGTCTGAGCAATTATGCACCATGGTTACTCACTCTCGGAGCTGGTTCTATAGATCGTAAGTTCACCACTAACGTCCAACTTGACAATGGCATGGTCTTTGAGGTGAGTTACATACTATTCTTTACTCCCACTGTTTTTTTTTTTTTTTCCTAATAATTCCAAATTGACTTTATATAGTCAAATCTTATAAAATTTGACCAAAAATTCACATTTAGTTGTGTGATATTGTTAAACCCATCCGTATAGTTTTATAATGTCAAGATTTTATAATTTTTGGTGCAGAGTAAATGAGTAATTTATAATCAAATATATTAATGGTCAAATGTAGTCCATAACATAAGCTTTATTTAGAAAGTTAAAGGCTGTAATGTTCAAACATAAATTTTGTTAAATGTACTCTTGATGCAGGGGATTTCACTAAATACATTTGATCTCGAAAATAAGACTTTCCCCCTAATCTATGGAGGAGATGCCCCAGACACAATATTCTCAAACTCAACACTTTCAAGGTATTATACTTGAATACACAGTCGCTGCATGTATATATTCTTTATTTAATTGAATTGAAATTGAGTAAAATTTCACAAAATTGCAGATATTGTTTACCAGATTCATTAAATAAAACATTGGTGGAAGGCAAGATTGTAGTATGCGACATGCTATTAAGACCTGACCGCGGGTTAGAGGAGGTTTTCGTTGATGGTGCAGCTGGGACAATAATGCACTTTGTTGAACCCAATCTTTATGATACTGCACTTTCTTTCCCTCTCCCTGCATCTTATATTCGCGATGATGATGCCGTTCATCTTATTGCCTACACTAGAAACTTAACAAGGTAGTATTAAGCTTGAACTTTTTTCCCGTCCCACAATATAAATTAAAAGTCACGTTGTCTAGAAATATTTTTATTGTTTTAAACCATGGAGAATTACAACAGGCAATGATGAAACATCTAATTTAAGCTCGTGGGTACCACTCATAAACGTTTACCACCACTTGTTGCCATTATTAATTATTTTCAATTGTCATGTGTGTAGCACCCCATTTGGAACAATACATAAAAGTGTAGAAGTGAAGGATGCATCAGCACCATATGTAGCTTCATTTTCCTCTAGAGGTCCTCATCCACTCTCACCTCATATTCTTAAGGTAAGAGATTATGTACTCGTCTAATGAACTGGCCGATTAATCATCATAAAGAAGAACGAGAATGCCCCATTTTCTCATGGTGATAAACAAATTCGTTTCTCATAGGGGCATTTTAGTGAATAAATTAACTAACTTTTTCAACTTTATTCAATTGTGGAGCCTACAATATTAAAAAAGTTTGATTTATTCACAAAAATGCCCTTCACCATGAGAAACAAGGAATTTCCCCAGAAGAACTAACATACATACTGGGGTTGATTGCTAATTATAGCCAGATCTAATTGCCCCCGGAGTGGACATTCTAGCAGCTTGGTCACCGGTTGCATCTGTATCAAGAGTTGAAGGTGATCCGCGATCTGTGCCTTATACCATAGCTTCTGGGACTTCCATGGCATGCCCACATGCCACTGCTGTTGCTGCTTATGTTAAGTCTTTCCATCCTACTTGGTCCGCTACTGCCATTAGATCCGCTCTCATGACTACTGGTAATATATTTTTTGAAATATATGTTACCATAAATCTAGACTTAGATAAAGTATATCTTCTTACGTTTATCTAATTTGACAGCTCTACCTATGAGCCATGCTAAAAACGGAGAAGCTGAATTATCATATGGTTCAGGCTACATTAACCCCTTGAAGGCTGTAAACCCCGGCCTTGTATACAATGCTGAAGAGGTTGACTACGTGAAATTCTTGTGCAGTCAAGGCCTCGACGACATCAACATGAACCGAGTAACAGGAGATAATAGCAGTTGTCAAGGAAATACTACTAATTGGGATCTTAATTACCCTTCAATCGCGCTCCCTACAAGTGTAGGCTCCTTTAGTTCTATGTTTACTAGGACTGTCACTAATGTTGGATCGCCTAATTCGACGTATAACGCTGTAGTTACTACGCCTCAAGGGCAGGCACTGTCCATCAAAGTGCAACCATCTGTTTTGTCGTTCAATTCTCTTGGACAGAAGATAACATTTACGGTAAGGGTTTCAGGGACAATTGGTATGAGAGCCTTGATATCATCTTCTTTGGTTTGGGATGATGGTCAACATCAAGTTCGAAGCCCTATTGTTGTTTTTAATTTGTCTTAGATAGTTAGATGTTTCATGTTTGGCTTGAAAACTAGATCTATAAATTTGGATAAATGGGTCAAGTTTGTACATTGTTTTGGTTGATTAAGGATTAAATTGTTCACAATTTGTAAATACATTCAGTAAAATATATTGTAGTAACATGTGTTTGTATATATATTTATATATATAGACATATACATTATACATACTAAATTTGTAGTTTTGTATACTTGTATGTCAATTGGATTTAAATGGGTTCTTTTGTGTTGATCATCCACTCCACCTCCAGTGGCTTGCATTGCGGACTTGGTCGCGAAATAGACAAGAGTGTGCTACATGATAATACACAAGATGTGTAAACAATATAAATATAGGTTAGTACTTAGTAGGTAGACTGTAGACTTTAATTACATCCTCCGTTCCACAAATATTGCAACAAAGAATGGAATTTCATATCCAAATCACGTTTTATATATTAAATATCTATAATTATATAAGAGTAAAAATTATAAAAAGTTGATATTATGAAAATATTTTACGAGATGAATCTAACAAGATCTCACTTGGCTATATTTTACTTTACGTGTAAATCATAATATGTGGTCAAACAAGCTTTATAAATAGTGCAAAAGTCTAATTGTTACAATATTACTAAAACGGAGGAAGTATATTTTGATAAATGCCAGCTATTTTCTCTCGTTTCATTTCATTTTTAGCCTCCTTTATTCTAACAAGCAAGATATTCTTGCATTAACAATGTCATCATCCATCTAAAATATTGTAGTTGTACACTTGTTTGGTAAAGAAAACGTACACAACGTTTTGGTGCATGCATTGCAAGTTGTGCTTATATATAACTTTTTTATATGATAAATTACATTATAATATGATCAAGTATTAGAAGTATATATTAGTTTGAATTTATCAACTACAAGAAGAGTTATAAAGTCAAAAAAGTTTGTCACACAAACTTATAATATCATGCAAGAAATCTTAAAATTAATCACTTAAGTGAGACCTATTCTTATTATGAATGAATCGAATTGAAAAATATAGTCGCCTAATTAGTGGTTGGGCCGTTTCTTTTGAATGGTAATATAACTGTTAATAGTAATTTCATTATATATATATAAACACGAATTTGATTAGGAGAGTGATTAAGATCAATAAGCTGATTATGGCTTCCAAATTATTTCCTCAGCCTTGTAATTACCACGTTTATCTTCTCAACCTCATTATCTGTTTATGGCTTCTTTCACCCCTAACTCAAGCTACTCAAGATCAAAGAAAGGCAAGCATCATCTTAATTTCTTACTTTATAGTTTATACCTACAAAATTTTCCTTTTCCTTTTCCTTTTTATAATTTTGTATTGTGATGTGTTGCTGCTAAATTAAATCATATTACTCCGTCAGTCCATCCATTTAGTTTTATTGTTTTGGGTTACATTAACAAACAAACAAACAAACAAAAAAAAAAAAACAAAAAAAAAACCACGGATTAGGGTATAGGCGAGAGAAAAAAAAAAAGTAATTTATTTAAAGGTATATATAAAAGTAGCCTTTGAAAATTAGTGTAAGCAAAAGTTGGGAAATTATTGTTTGTTGTATGTGGAGTAAGTTTGTATGGGATTATAAGCGATAAAAATGGATAAAATAAAGTTTGGCATGAAAGATCGAAGGAGTACGTGAAGCAAAAGTGTAACCAACAATAGTCAATAGCAGCATCAGCAACAATAATAATAATAATAATAAAAAAAAGTGTTACTATGAAACACAAGGATTGTAAAGGAATTCATAACCAAATATATGTTATTTTTTACCTGATCGGTTTCTTTTATCACGTTTGTCATTACATACAAAACTTTAACAATCAATAACTTTAATTCTCCATAAGTAAATATTATAAAAGTTATATATTACGATAGTATTTATTGAGACGAATTTAGAAAAAAAAAAATATTACAAGAATATGTTTTTCCTTATATATTCTTCACAAAAGACGATAAATGAAGAGGTGGTGAATAGTGTAAAAGTCAAGTAAAAAAAATGGAGGAAGTAGGAATTAGGGTCAAGGAGAGGTGGTTTGCTAAGAAAGAAAGATATGGTATTCATACATGCGTGCAAGAAAAATCAACTATATGGCCCTATGGGGGTCTAGGTAGTTACATGATTATTTTATTTTATTTTATTTATTTATTTTATCTATATAATTTTAATGGTGTTGCATAATCTTTTTAAGTGTAACTTGAATCCTACCTGGATTTGATAAACTCTTTGGGAAAAAAAAAATATGAATAAGGCTCATTGTGGTTTATTTTAATTTGGCTGAAATTATATTATCTGATGTATATGTCCAATCAATTTATTTGAATAAAGAATATTTAGTATGAAATTATCTTAACTTATTTGAAATTGTTTAAAGTTAGGCCTTAAAACAACTTATTTTATTTGAACTAAACTTACTCGTATTTCAGTTAACGAGAACGAAAATGCTCTCTTACATATTATCCTGATCGTAATTAGAAGAACTAATGATAATTGATCGGATTTTGATTGGGTGGAGTTTCACCCACATCCATCTCCCATTCAATTCCCTCCACCCAATTTAATTCACCCGTCCATGTAATTTGGGTTTTTGTACATTCATTTAAAATGGATAGATTGGGTTCATAGATATCCATTTATTTTTGACATCCTTAGTAATAGAGCAATAATCCTTCGTTTAACTTACTAATTGTTGTCTATTTAATTATGTAGACTTATATCATATACATGGGTGGTCGGATTAATCCAAACGTTCCGGCAAAAGACCTTCATATTGATATGTTAAGCGGCGTTCTTAATGGGTGAGGACTTTTTTTTTTTTTTTTTTTTTTTTAAATGTTTTCTTCTAAGAATTCAAAAGCATTGAATTTTTTTATCCTACATTTTAGGTGTATGTCATTTAAGTGTGAGTTTAGTTTAGTTGGTAACTAATGATATAAAATGGACATCTATTTTCTTTGTAAATTAAAACTAATGTAATTGAGATTTTTTTTTTTGGTGGTTTAGTGTTCCTCGTCACAAGGTTTCAGAACACCTACTCTATTCTTACGAGAATTTTCATGGATGCGTAGCAAAACTAACTGAAAACGAGGCAAAGGTTATCGCTGGTACGTTACTATGCCCCAGTTCTTTAGTTATACTCCCTCCGTGTTTTTTTAAGTGATACATTTTCCATTTCTGGCCGTGTTTTTTTAAGTGATACATTTTCTTTTTTGACAAAACAATACATTAAAATATTATATCTCTCTCCTTTCATGATCCCCACCCAAAACCACTACTACTATTTTATTATATCTTTCATCTCATACTTATTATTTTTCAATAAACTATTAACCCCACTATTTTTTTTTAACAATTCTTTAATACTCCATTACCCCACTTACCTCTTATTTTATTTAAGTCAATTAAATTGCCTAAAACTATGTGCCGGTCAATATGTATCACTTAAAAAAACACGGAGGGAGTACTCCGTAGTTACATAGAATTTTTTTTTTTTTTCATTGTAACATTTTCGTACAAAAAAAAAAAAAAAAAAAATTGTGGTAGATATGGTAGGAGTTGTTTCGGTATTTCCAAATGAAAAGTATGACCTTCATACAACAAGGTCCTGGGATTTTATGGGTTTCCCTCTTAATGTCGAAAGAAGCAACACCGAGAGCGATGTTATCGTTGGTGTAATTGATTTTGGAATTTGGCCTGAATCTGAAAGCTTTCAAGATGAAGGTCTTGGTCCACCTCCCACCAAATGGAAGGGCCGATGTCACAATATTACTTGTAACAAGTAAGTTCTCTTAGCGCTATGGAAAATATCAAAATATTAACCACATGATACGTCATCTCAAAGTTCTTAATACTTTACATTTTCAAATTTACAAACCTAATGCTTTGACCATAAATATCTCTAATTTAAGAGTGAGGGATAGCTCAAGTGGTTAGAGCTTCCCTCCCGGTTCCAAGAGATCTTGGGATCGATTCTCACCCTCGCCCTTGTGGCTCTCTAAACACCAAAAAAAAAAAATCTCTAATTTTGTACTCCATTACAGAATAGTAATAATACGTAATATTTTAAAAATGACACTAGTTATAGAACTTACGGAGTACAACACATGGTCAACTAAAGTAGATTTGTACACCGTGTATAAAGTCAAAAAATTAAAAACATTCATAAACGAATCTAATATATATTATTTCCTTTGTCCCATAATACACGATACAATTAAACATTGCACATATGTCAATGCACTAGTTGGACTTTATTTTTGTATAACTAAATATTAATGAACATTATTTTTAAAAATATATTATGAAACATTAAATTAAAACCTATCTAACTACTACCTCCGTTTCATATTTTTTGCAACTTTGGAATATTTTATGTCTCACAAATAATATCCTAAATTAAAGTTGTAAAAAACATGAAATGGAGGTAGTATATATTTTGTGATAAAATATATTTTTTTATGAAATCTACTGCATGAATAATGAAAAAAAGTTCAACGACTCATGTATTGTGAGACGGAGGCAGTAGTATCATGGATTTACATAGAAATTAATTAAGTCAAGTTTGTGTTCTCTAACCATCATCTAAATTATAACACCCATAATTATTGCAGCAAAATAATTGGCGCACAATATTTTCGAGCCGATGGAGAATTTAGCAACGGCGACATAGCATCCCCTAGAGATACAAACGGACATGGAACACACACTGCCTCAACAGTTGCTGGAGGAGTTGTAAAAATGGCTAGCTTCCTAGGCCTCGGCCAAGGAACTGCTCGAGGGGGCGTACCATCTGCTAGAATCGCGGTGTACAAATCGTGTTGGTCTGACAGTTGCTTATTTGCTGACATATTAGCAGCATTTGATGCAGCTATATCAGATGGGGTGGACATCATTTCAGTTTCACTTGGAAGTAGTCGAGCCCAAGCACGACCGTACTTCACTGATCCAACAGCCATTGGTGCATTTCATGCAATGAAAAAAGGTATCTTAACTTCTGCCTCTGCTGGAAATAGGGGTCCTGGACTTCAAATTCTTGGAAATTATGCACCTTGGATACTTACGGTTGGAGCTAGTACTATGGATCGTAAGTTTACCACTAAGGTTCAACTTGGTAATGGCATGGTGTTCGAGGTTAGTCTGAAAATAAATTATTAAGTGTAATCAAATTTGATAAGTAGGATAAAATTTGGTTGAATGTACTACTTGATATATTTTTTTGGTTTCCCTACTTAAACTTGTTTAGTGTCGTAATAAAATTTTATTCTGTAAAAGGCCCCGTTCACTTCACCTTATAAAAAAATATTCAATAAAATTAATTTCAATTTAGTAAACTTAATTTATGACCAAAAGATGGCGTTACATCAAGGTTTAAGGCCGTTAGTGAGGTCTACTGAGTATTCACCTGATATGTGGCTACATGTACATGTCATGAGCAGGAAGTTACAATTATGTCCTCCGATAAACAGGTTGAAGTACCCACAAAGCCCCTAGATTAACGTCTTATAGCAATCAAAGAGATTAACATGAATTTGCCCAAAAACAATTACAGTTTAGCAAAAATAATTTCAATTCAGTAAAAATAATTTCAATAATTCAGCAAAAGTAAGTTGAAGTGAACAATACCTAACAAAAAAAACTGAGAGAGTTACTTATTTTTTGATTCATTGTTATTAACAATATATGTTGCTTTTTCCTTTTTTTTTTTTTTTTGACAAGTACAATATATATTGCTTAATACAGGGAACTTCACTAAATACATTTGACACCCAACATAAGACGTTTCCCCTGATTTATGGAGGAGATGCACCAGACACTGAATTATCAAACTCATCAAATTCGAGGTATGATTGAATAAATCTTTAATGTATACGAGTAGTTACGTTATTAAAGATCTGATTGTATTATATTTGTCACACAATATTTCAGGTTTTGTTTACATAATACATTAAATAGTACATTGGTGGAAGGCAAGATTGTTTTATGTGATAGATTTATAAGTGGGGAGGAGCCTTATCTTGCTGGTGCAGCTGGGGTTATAATGCAAGATGTCGAACCCCATGATCTTGCAGCTCCCTTTCCTCTCCCTGCATCTTATCTTCGTGTTGATGATGCTGCTCGCGTTCTCTCCTACACTAGAAATCTAACAAGGTTTTATATTATTTTTTACCATTTTTCCTTTGTAATAATACATGTAATTATTCTTAATCACATCCAACATCTAAGAAAATCTCACAAAATTGACATACAGTATATGATACTCCATAATATATATCATGCCAAATACACTTATAAACCTTCCAAATACAGAGTATTCCCTCCGTCTCACATGATACTTTCATCCAAATTCACTTATAAGCCTTTTTATTACAGAGTACTCCCTCCGTTTCACATTAATCTCTAAAGTTAAAACTGTTCTATGATGGAGGATGATGACTAAACTTAGCTTCTAATTAAAATTCTTAATCTAATTTTATGGTAAATGTACTAAAATACATATGATAGACTAAGATCTTGCATTCTTGCTATTCATGTATGTATGCAGTACTCCATTTGGAACAATACATAAAAGTGTAGAAGTGAAGGATACATCAGCACCATATGTAGCTTCATTTTCCTCCAGAGGTCCTCATCCACTCTCGCCCCATATTCTTAAGGTAAGAGATACTCGAGTATACGTAGTAATTTGATTAACAACAAACAGAACAACTACAATAATTAAGGTGGAAAAACTCACTAGTGAAAATGTTCAGCCCGACTTAGTTGCCCCTGGAGTGAACATCCTAGCAGCCTGGCCACCGATAGCATCTGTTACCGGTGTTGAAGGTGATACGCGATCTGTGCCTTATAACATGTTGTATGGGACTTCCATGGCATGTCCACATGCCACTGCTGTTGCTGCTTATGTTAAGTCTTTCCATCCAACTTGGTCCGCGGCTGCTATAAGATCTGCTCTCATGACTACTGGTATAATAAGTTTCTCTAAACCTTCTTTTAGTATTTCTTAATTAACTTTAGCCAATATATTGTTTTTGTTGAAAACTTAACTTGCTACATAATAATTAATGTATATTGTCACACTACATGACATTTCTTGTACATAGACCAGAAATAATTTATTCCTAAATGTTTTGTTTATACAAATTTGACAGCTTTACCAATGAGTAATACAAATGAAGAAGCTGAATTAGCGTATGGTTCAGGCCATATAAATCCATTAAAGGCTATAGACCCCGGCCTAGTGTACGATGCTGAAGAGGGTGACTATGTGAAGTTTTTGTGCAGTCAAGACCTCAACGACACTCATATTGGATTAATAACCGGTATAAACAGCAGTTGCCACAAAAATCGTGCTAATTGGGATCTTAACTACCCTTCAATCGCGCTCCCTACAAATTTAGGCCCCTTTGACACAATGTATACTAGGACTGTCACTAATGTTGGTTCTCCAAATTCTACTTACAAGGCTGCAGTAACTACGCCGCAAGGGCAGGCATTGTCTATCAAAGTTCGACCATCTGTTTTGTCATTCAACTCGGTTGGACAAAAAATGTCCTTCAATGTGAGGGTTTATGGGACAATTGGTATGAGAGCTTTGATGTCAGCTTCTTTGGTGTGGGATGATGGTCAACATCAAGTTCGAAGCCCTATTGTTGTGTTTAATTTGTCTTAGAAGTTCTTGATGAGCTGCAAATTGGATAAATCGAGTTAGTTTTGTGGTTATGTTGCCTAATTGTCTATAAGTTTATAATACAATGGTGGTATAGAATTTTAACGAGTCTTATTGGGATTTTATCTATATCTAATTAGGCCTTATCTGAGTTAGACTGTGTGCTTATATATAATTGCAACAGTTTGACTTTTATACTATTTACGTGTTTTACTTTGACGATTTATACTTAAGTAAAAATCTAGTCATGTAGGATCTTGTTAGATTTGTCTCAATTTATAAAATTAAAGATATTAACGATTGAAAACATGTGTCGACAAGCATGAAAAGAGAAGTGTTGCAATTATAAAACAAAACAGCGAAAGTAAAAAAATTTACTGGTAGAAAAAATCAATATTTATTTTCATCCACCTGGCTTGTAGTTTTGTGCATGTGGCTTGGTGGTTGATGTGATTAGATATAAAATACTTCCTACTCGGTCAAGGATTTGAAATCTTTGAATACCCTAGATGCACATTTTTTTTATTTTTTTTATTAATCGTCCTAGAAAATCATGACACAATACATTGGGCACAAAGATAAGTCATAAAAACTATACATAAACATATACCCAAAAAAAAAAAAAAAAAAAAAAAAACTATACATAAACATCATCTGATCTATTGAATCGCTTGCCTTAAACAAATTCGTTAGATAAAGTTTTCTAGCACTAGTTTGTGTATGAGCCCCAATTATAAAAGAATAATGTAAAACCAATTTAACTAAACTTTAAATTTGTACGGGATAATGCCGATAGAAAGGTAAATAGGCCGAAAGTTAAAATCTTGCCCATGCCTATTCTGTTGAACTCAATAATCCTTAACGGCTCTCCCCTAGGCCACGTGGAGAGCTGCTCCCGGCCACGTTGGCACCTGCTACGTTTAAAGTCGGTTTTCCACCTAACGTCATAAGGTGGCATCTGCTTGGTTCCTTCCTTATATATACCCAAGTTTATTCTCATATTAAGGTACAATCTTTTCTCTCTCTCTCTACATAATCACTTTCTCTCTCTTCATTTCCTCTTCTCCAGGTCACTAACTTTAGCATCGGAGCGGTTATTCTCAGATAACCCCCCGGGCTAGTTAATCTGTGTTGACTGTGCAGGTACGGAATTGGACGGTAAACCTTTACTGGCCCCGGAACATAACGGCATCAGGATTTACCCGGAACAATTGGCGCTAGAAGGAGGGGATAGTAATAACTTCTATCGTCCAAAAAGACCTCCAGCAGTCATGGAAGGAGACAATGAAACTACGTTGATACCAGAAAGGGAAAACCGAAATTATGATAGCGGCGCCCCAAACACTACTATGCCCGAGATAGTAGTGGAGGATGAGACCCACCTATTGCATAAGGGCGCTATGAGCATACCACAGACGCCGGAAAGGATTCAAGCTACAACTCCTGATCCCTTAGGAGAATTCACCCCGGAAGAGCTGGAGATAACGGCTAGGGTTATGCAGGCAATGTCACGGAAGAGAAAAGAGGCCGAGATAGCGGCCACGAAACCCCGGGATAGGCAGACAAAGTCCGTAGTCATTAACCTTGAAGACCAGTTCCGACAAATTGACCCGCAATGCACCCCACGACCACCACCCTTTGAAACAGTAGTACCGGCCACCGTGAGTAGGGGTGAATCTGAGTCATATCGGCAGGAGGCTAGCAGCGGGCCGTCGAGGCGAGTAATCCGCACTATAGTCCGACCGAGGACGTCACCCTTCACGCAGGAGGTTCTTGACCAGCAAATGGAAAAGATTAAAATGCCCTCATGCACGTATGACGGCAAGGGTGATCCAAAAAGGTACATTGCAGCATTTGAGAGCCATATGTTGTTGTACACCGACACTGACGCGGTATGGTGCAAAGTCTTTCCTACAACACTGATCGGAGCAGCGTCAGACTGGTTTACTAATTTGGAACCTGGATCCATAGATGGCTTTGATACTCTAGTCAAGTTATTCACGGGTCAATACATAAGCAATAGCGCGAGGCAGAGAACTTCAGGAGAGCTTATGTCCGTCAAGCAGAAAAGGGACGAGTCACTGAGGGACTTCGTTCGACGTTTCAATAATGAAGCCAACACCATACCTCGATTACAGCAGGAAATAGCCGTCATGGCCTTGATGAATGGTTTGGCTGACAGCGATTTCAAGAAGTATATGGCACGGAAATCTTTTCCCAATCTCGGCGCAGCTTTTAACAAAGCGCATGACTACATAAAGAGCGAAGAACTTCTGAGAGCAGGAAGTCAAATAGCGTTAGCAGAGCCCTCTCGGAGGAACAATGCTCAATCATTGCCGGAGAGCTACGGGGGGGGGGGGGTCAACAGGCAAAATCAGCAAAAAACAAATAGACCGACTAGAGGTCTAGGACGATACAGTAATTATACTCAGCTGAATACACCCAGAGCAACAATTTATTCTATAAACCAGCACAAGGAGGATTGGAGTCGGCCAGCACCAATGATAACAAAAGGCCGAGATGTGGAAGAAGTACTGCATGTTTCACAAGGACGTCGGTCATTACACAGAAGAATGTATCCAACTCAAGGAGAACATCGAGGATCTTATTAGAAAAGGACATCTGTCCCAATACCGGTCGCAAACAAGTACAAGCCGAAAGGGATATCAACCGGTAAGACAGCCTGGATACCGCAAACCGGAAAATCCATCAGCGCAAGATGACGTCTACCGGCAAGACAACAGTAGGGTTTATCGGCAGGGCTCTGCGCCCCCTGGACGAAAAATCACCATTGAGGTGATTACTGGAGGACCGGTGCACGGAGGATCGGTAAATGGTGCAAAGAAGAGTCTGTCGGAGTATAAGCACATAGTAAATGCTTTAGGAATAGATGAACAACCTCGGCCAAATAATATTCCTTCTGTGTCTTTCTCCGAAGCTGACGCCAAAGGCGTAGTCTTTCCTCACGATGACCCATTAGTGCTGATATTGTCGATAAGCGGGTGTGACGTCAAGCGTGTGCTTATAGATAGAGGTAGCTCAGCGAATATCCTATTCGCAAGGGCATTTGATGCAATGATGATAGGTCGGAAATACCTTACACCGGTGTCATATCCGGTTATTGGCTTTAACGGTTCTACCGTTAGACCTGAGGGTAGCATAGTTTTGCAAACCCGAGTCGGAGAAGGATCAGCGGCCCGGGATGTGATGACCGAGTTCTTAGTTGTCGATGTGCCGTCAGCATACAATGCCATCGTCGGCCGACCGTTAATTCATGACACACAAGCCATTGTCTCCACATATCACCTTACGATGGTATATGTCTCTAATGTCGGCAAGATAGAACGCATTAGAGGAAGTCAGACAATGGGAATGCTATGTAACAACATTAAAATAGCCTGCCCGACAGGCTCCGAGAAATCAAGGTAACCAGAAAAGGGAACGGTCCCCGCCGACCCATGACCTGGCAATGACAAATTTTGATACAAGGCCCATAACTGTCCCTAGACCATTGCCAGGAGGGGAACCTGTTGAAATAGAATTACAACCAGGGGTGCTTAACCGCACAGTAAAAATCGGATCTGATATGGATACCGAGATGCAATGCCACCTAGTGGAACTCCTAAGGGAGAATGCGGATGTTTTTGCTTTCTCAGCCGACGAGATGCCCGGGATTAACCCAGAAATAATGGTACACAAGCTAAACGTGGATAGGCGAGCTAGGCCGGTAAGACAGAAGAAAAGGAACTTCTCTATCGAAAAAATCGAAGCAATACAAGCCGAAGTTAACAAGCTGCTAGCGGCAGGATTTATAAAACCGTGCACGTACCCTGAATGGTTGGCCAATGTCGTTATGGTGAAGAAGCCGTCAGGAAAGTGGAGGATGTGTGTAGATTTTACAGATTTAAATCAAGCTTGCCCAAAGGACTATTATCCCCTACTAAGAATCGATCGCCTGGTTGACTCGACCTTGGGCCATGCGTTACTGAGTTTTTTGGATGCTTTTTCCGGATATCACCAAGTCAGTCTCTACCCGCCGGATCAGAACAAAGCGGCATTCATCACAGATGCCGGAGTTTTTTGTTACAAGGCAATTCCTTTTGGGTTGCGAAATGCTGGAGCAACTTACCAGAAATTGGTGGACAAGGTTTTTGCGAACCAAAAGGGAAGAAATGTCGAAGTGTACGTGGATGACTCAATCGTAAAAAGCCGTTTAGCTACGGAGCATATAGCAGACTTGAGGGAAACCTTTGACACCCTGCGACGATATCGAATGAAGTTAAACCCCGAAAAGTGCGTATTTGGCGTCAGGTCTGGAAAATTCTTAGGGTTCATGGTCAGTGAAAGGGGAATAGATGCAAATCCCGATAAAATTGAAGCTATCCTCAGTCTCCCACAGCCTAAGTGCATTAAGGATATACAAAAGTTAACCGGTCGAATGGCAGCATTGACGAGGTTCATCAGCAAGTCGGCCGATAAAGCATTACCGTTCTTTGTTATCCTCCGTCAAAATAAGACTTTTGTCTGGGGGAAACAGCAAGTTAAGGCGCTGGAGGCCGTTAAAAACCATCTGCGATCACTGCCAACGATCGCTAGACCAGAAACAGGAGAGACGTTACAGCTTTACATCTCGGCTTCCCCGAAGACGGTAGCGGCTGTACTGTTGGTGGAACGACAGAAAACACAGAAGCCTATATACTTTGTTAGCCATGTGCTGAATGCCGCAGAACGAAGATACCCACTGATCGAAAAGACTGCGTATGCAGTGGTCATGGCAGCAAGAAAACTGCGACCCTATTTTGATGCACATACCATCGAAGTTTTGACGAATCAACCACTAGAGAGGTCTCTTCAGAAAATGGAGACTTCGGGTCGTCTGCTGAAATGGGCAGTTGAGCTGTCAGAATATGTGCTGATTTATAAACCCAGAGTGTCAATCAAGGCCCAAGCCTTATCGGAATTCATAGTTGAAACTTCCTACACCGAAGAAGAAGATGCGGTCGGCACATGGAAAGTATCAGTTGATGGTTCGTCGGCCTCAACTGGATCAG